AAGAGAAAGGAAGACATATATCTTTGACAGGGTCTGGCCCTGACATTATCCTCCTGCCCCAGACTTCTAGTTGTCTCGGATTATAGGTATGAGCAGCCGTGGCCACCATGTTCAGCCTGGCCTGGACACCTAACTGGGCCTCGCAAGCAGCTTCCAGCCTCTCAAGCAGTGATGCTGTGTTCCACTGTGGCGGGGCTAAGAGGAAGTAGATTTTAACATAACTTTTTTTCCCCTTGAAATATGATGTTTTTGTTCCTCTAACCTTACTTTAGAATGAAAGTGTGTCTTGAAAACTCAGTGTTATGTTATTCGTTTGAATACTCCTTTAATGCATACTTAGGTGCTCATTTTTAAAGTTGTATTGGCCTAATTGTATTGGCCTAATGTGTGCTGTAAGTAATTTCCTGTGACTCAAGCAATCACTTTAGACCAGAACGTTATTTTTTTGGCTGAGAGAAAATAGCACAGACAGAAGTGGGTTGTCCCATTATGCTGCCTGGGTCCTGGAGAATTACTTAATCATTTATAAGAACCTCCCATTAAATATGAAAGATTTTTGTCATTTATCGACATTTCAACTGCAATGCAAAGCAAATGCTTAGAGAATTTTTCAGAATTTGTTACTAAACCTACTAGTTCAGAATTCGGCATAGTTTGGAGAAAGTTGGGTTTAACTTTCACTCTTTTAGCTGCCCACAGAGAAGGATTTATGGAGCAAAATATACAAATCAAGGAATACGAGAAATATTGAGCAGCTTACGTAAACAAACTTTCAAAGTGCTTTAGCAGCTTGTATTAATAAAATAGTCCAGTGTTAATTGTAATTAAAAATTTGCCTTAATATCACCTTAGCTTATAGTGATTTCTGTTTAGTTTCAAGAGATACTTAAAAGTCAAATTCATTTTCATTCCATTCATTTCAAACTGATAAATATCCCTTTTACTTAAGTATACATGATCCTGAATTACAATTTGTTTAAACTTAAAATGTATCAACTACAAAGCAAATTAAATTAGATTGTCTTCAGCGATTTCTTAACCCGCTTACCTCATTAACAAAGCCCCATTCAGGGAGGCAAGATTTAATCTCTGGTTGAACAGTCTTGCAGGTGAGGATTAAGCTTGTTTGGCATTGCACTCCTGAGTGCATGAAAACAATGACATCTGCCAGGCTTTTGTTTCCATTGCTGATCCATATGTGAAGTTTTTTAAAGGGTACTTTCACTGCTCACAATGTGTTAATATAGTAGAATTCTGTCGGAAGGAGAGCACTGAAAGAGAGTCCTTGCAGACGGATACTTAATGTACTCGTTGAGTAACTCAACTTTCATCAGATTAAAGAGGCTTCTCTTTCTATGCTGATTGTATTCATTGTAGTAGGGGGAATGCACACTTATAATTTGCTGGAGTCATCTGATGTATGTGATCAGTGGCCTAAAATGGTGTATAATCATTTAAAAATGTATATACATGTGTAACTAAAAAGATTACTGCCTAGAAAGAATGAATATGCACCCACAGAAGCAAATTAAATGCCAAAGGGTAATCATAGATTCCTTTGTGTTTAGAGAGTTCTTTGTTGAAGTTCCTAGGCTTAGTTTATGTTTTTAAAAATCTCTGTACAGTACTTACAGAATGTTTTAAACATGTATTTTGTTAAATACACAGCTTGCCCAAGTGTTCTTATTGAAGCTTCTTTGGGCTTCAATAATGGCTGCCCATTCAGTAGTCACACAATAGATGCATATTAAACGAACGTGTTGCCCTATTCTCTAGACTTGCAGCCAGTCAGTTTGTATTGCCAGTAAGCATTCCTTTCTTAGATTGTCTATCTTCAGACTACACTATGTTTTAGAAATTATGCTCATTAAATTTTAGCATCTACCGCAGTACTTTTCTCATTCCTAATTTTTCCAGCCTTTCTGTATCATGGGACACTCAGAAGTAATTTATTTGTCCTTACATTTATTCCTTCAAGGGTTTATCAAAGCCATATTGCCATTTTCAGTCATTGTTGTCCTTCATTTTTCTCTTTTCTCTTCCCTTTTGTGTCTGATACTCTCTCATCCTTGTGTTCCCTTAGTTTCTCATTTGAACATTTACTGAACACTTGCTTTCTACTAGCACACATTGATAAAGAGGACCTCATTCCTTCCCAGAGGTAGCTCATAAGTGCACTTCCATTTGACCTCATCCTTCCTATTCTTCCCTAGGATCTATTTTGTCAGTAAGGTTCCTCCTTTCTTCCAAGATGCTCATGCTGTAGAATTTTCAATCTCCATGTTATCTGAAATTACTCTTACTATTTTATGACCTACTATTTAAAGCCTGCCATTCTTGGGGCCAGCAGGTGTTGTGGTAGTTAAGGCATGGGACTACCAACATGGCCAACCACAGTACAAGTCTCAAACCCAGTGACTTGAAAACCACTCCAGGTGTGTGTGTGTGCATGCCCAAAATCCCCTGAGAGGAGAATGGAGAAGGGATTGTAGTGAGGCCATCCCCTGGGGGTGGGGGGGGTGATTTCTCACTTTTCCTCTCTTTGTCTTTTTTCAGCAAGTGCACACAGTATGGCAAAAAGCTTAAATAAATAAATGAATAAAGTTTGCCATTCTTTGAGAATGTTTGGTTTTTTTTTTTCTGTCACCCTCACTAGTCTCTTGCTTTTCAAAATGTATTCTGTTCTTATGTCATTAATAAATGAATAAATGATTTTTTCCTTTAATATCTTATAGAATAATTTATTTGGTGACCATCTAGATTATAACATACTTGTTAATAGAGATTCTTTATGCCTCACTCCAGTAATGTCTATACTCCCAGAAATGGTTAGCATACATTTTTGGTTTATAAAGAACTGTTAGCTTGTTTGTTTTCTGAATAATAGAGAATAATGAGATATAATAAAATTGCCACATTGCATTGGCAACAGGATTGGAAAGGCTGTACTGCTCATTGTCTCATAAATGCAGATTTCTGGTGGTTCTGATCTGACATACTGTATTTATATTTGTTATAGCCTAAGACATTCTGTTTGTCATAATATTTGTACCCAGCACACAGTCATTAAAAAAAATTAATTCATTTTACATTTGGTTGCATATACTGGTAGATGCTGCTACTAGACAGCCGGGGGCCACATGAGAGATTCAGGTTCTATTCCCAGGACACCTAGAAAGCCAGGAGTGATGGTGCATGCTCGTAATTCCAGCAAGTTGGGAGGCAGAGAAAGGAGGATCACTATATAGCAAGACCCTGTCTAAAAAAATGCTATGAACTTCAGAAATTTTTAATACCATTTAAAGTTTAGAAATAGTGATAGAAGGTAAAATGAAAGGCTTATGTTTATTTAAATATATCAGTACATATGATTGGTAGCTAAGGAGCATTTTGTTTCTAAAAATATAAATCTATATATTGTGTTAACTGTGAATAAACCTATGTATTATTTACCCATTGTGCATGACAGATGAATACAGAGGCTTTTTTGGGGAAAGCTTAATAAAGATGTGTTCAGGATGTTCTTAGGAACATTTTAGGAAATAGATCCTGCTGACAGGAAACTGGAAATGTAGAATTTTTAAAAGCTGGTTGAGAATGTCTTGAGTACTAATTTGGGAAGGCATTATCAGTTTATTTCAGGAAATACACATTTAAAGCCTTCACAAAGGGCTATTTGGAGGTGATGCTATATCATTACAGAAAAAAGGCTGGGCTTGACCTATGTAATGTTTGGACATCTGGAGAGAAAAGTCCTGATGGCATTGCCATTGGCCCCAGTCTGTTTGCTTTCTTCACAGTAAAATGAGATGTATGTTCTTATCCAAAGAGAAAACTTTTCAGACAGATGACAAATGTACAACTAAAGAAAAATTTTGTTTCTTTAGAACTTATGGGTATTTTTGAGGATTTTTTTTGTTCTAAAATATTGGGTTGTCAGGAAAGTCATGGCGCATTTTTGCATAGAAAAACACAGTAAAATATGTCATGGTTTTCACGATGACCTAATAAATTGTACAAAAAGATATTTTTTCTGTTACAATGTGCATATTAGGTGAGAGCAATATATAGTTGCTTTAGGTACTTTTTCAGTTGGTTTTAATAGGCAGTATGCCTGTACTGTATACTATATTGCTACTAATGTATTTTCTTCACAATCAGTGTTTACTGTCTGATTACTTTACAAAGGTAGACGTTAATAAAAAACATGAAAGTGAACCTAACATTCAATCCATTTTAAAGGTTTCATTGTGTCATAAATTATTTACTAGAAATTTTTTAATCTATGAAATAACATTTTCTAAAGTTCTCAACTTAAGAATTGTGATGTTTTAAGATGAAGTTGGCAGAGTTATGATTGGCCAGATCTGAGTCCAATCTGGGCTCAAGGATGGATGGGCTCAATTCCCCATTCCTTCTTTATATTGTATGGAGGTTCATATGAAGGTTGCAGGTTTTCTCCACGGTTTAGGAAAAATTAAATCCAGGAATTAAATCCTTTTTTTTTTTACCCTGAAAACAGAAACATTTATTACAGTTATATTGTTAAATTCTTTTTTTTTTCTTTTTCCATTCTAGATTAAAGAGTCTATTGTCGGAGAAATCAGACGAGAAATTGTAAGTGGACTTTTAGCAGCTGTATCTTCAAGTAAAGCATCTAATTCTAAGCAAGATAGTCATTAAGTGGAAATTATAGGTAAGTTTTTCTGAATTTCTTTGTTTAGCTAAATGTAAGTAAGTATGTGATTTTTTAATTCATTGTTTCCTTAGTGTACACAGGCCTGTTTCTCTAGTTAAATTTTGATTTTCAGAATGTATGTAGTGTTGTTATCCTTGTAGTGTTGAAAACCTCACACAACCTCATTTAAAGTTTAAGCAAGTCAAACTCCCATAATACTGACCTCCAAGGAATTGTCTATATTGTTTTACTGAAACTTTACTGTGGTAAATAAATTCTGGAATTGGACCGTCATACCTAAATTTTATTATGAAAGCATTAATGATAATAGTGTTTCAGATGTATAATTTAGAGAACAAGATTTTGAGAATTCATCACAAGTTGTTATAACTTTCCTAATTATTTTCATCTTTTAAAGAAACATATCCCATAGATTCACTTCTAATCATAATATTTTGAGAGGTTTTTGCTATAGGGCACGTGTGCTTGCCAGAAAGACAGAGACAGAGAGACAGAAAGTGAGAAATCACCCCCCAGGGGGGATGGCCACGCTGTAATCCCTTCTCCTCCATTCTCCTCTTCGGATCTTGGGCATGCACACACACGCACCTGGAGTGAGTTTAAGCCACTGAGTCCAGGACTAGAACCACGGTCAACTATATGGGAGTCCAGTGACATAGCCATTACGCCAACTACTGGTCCCTGTAATTTATATTTTAAAAACTATTTTATGTGTTTTGCTTATTAAAATGTATTATTATTTTATCCCATAGCTCTAAATACATTTTATAAAATATAAATATTAATACTTGGTAAATGCAAAAAGAAATAATGCATTTGAGTTGAATAGTACCTTTAATAGAACTAAAAATATACGTTTAATAAAATGTGAGAATAAAAATATCTGTAAACTGTGAAATATAATTTCAACTCTAGAATATGGGGAAAACATTTTGATAAACTATAAGAGGACTTTTAAAAGTTTAAGGAAAAATTGAAGTTCTTTTGGTGCAAAAATATTTGAAATCTTTGCATCATTTTTTCATAATACACAGCTCCATGAACTTCTTAAAGACCCTGAGTATGTCATAAAGCAACTAATAGGATTTGTTCTTTTCAAAACCAAGGAATAAAGAATTAACTCTCAGGAAGACATGTGGCGATCACAGGAAGATTATGTACAGATATAGATACACACATGCAGATATACACGCATACATGCACACAAACATGAGTGCATTATATATTTGGATAAAATTCTCAACCCCCTCTTAAAGAATCTGTTAATAGTGGTATTGATATTTGGAAGATATTTACTGTTGTTTTTTGTTGCATTCTCTTTCTTAAGGTTGGCATGGATCCTGTTAGCTGTGTAATATTGAAGTTATCAATGATATACACTGGTGGAGGTGTTATTTGTGCTACAGAAGATACTTGCTGCTGAGCTGGGCTACTGTATACAGTGTACAATGTGTATTTCTTCTATGCATATCTTTAAAAATACATGGAAATTTAGGCACTTTGCTGTTTCTCTTCTAAACTATCAAAACTGTAGCAGTTGGAAAAGCCTAATATTTATTTGTATGTCAATATTTTCCATTTGATTCCTTATGTAGAATTAATTATAAAACTTGAAGACTTCCAGACTTAACCAACTTATAAATAACATATTTCTTTAGATTAGCTTCTTAAAACACTGACCTCTGTGAGGTATTTACTGTGCAATAACTGATTCATTTTTTGAGAGCTTGAAGCAACCAATGATTTTTCCCTCCACTGCTGTTAATTAGTGTCACTTCCAAGGAGAAAATTGTTCTGTTGTAAAAATTCCTCTTAATTCTTGAGGAGGTTACTAATAGCAGTAGGATAGAATTATATGAGGTTATCTACAACTACTTAATGTTCTTACACTGAAAGCCTTGTTGCTTTACCTAAGACAAATATAATTTTATTATAGCTGATGTAGTATTTTCTTTCGGAAATGTGCCTTATGTTAAACACTATATACATTTTGCATTGTCCAGAGTTCTTCATTATAAGGAGATGTTTCTTTCTCTGTCTTTTGGACTAAATATTAGTAGGGTAGGTCAGAATAATGGAGCCTAGGACTTGAATGAATAGGAATGAATAAGCTGGGTTTTATGTTTTTTTTTTTTTCAAAAATGGAAGTAATTCAGATCTGTTGTTACACTCATGCAGAAGTGGTTTTAATTCAGTTTGAACCAGTGAAAACTGTGTTTTATGAAGAAAAAGAAAGAAAGTGCTTTCCTATTTGGTTTTATATGTATTAAATAAATGTGTAAAGTAAATGTTATTGGAATTATTCTTCTAGAATTTATCATCCTCGACTCCTATTATGTTTCTTTGTGTGTGAAATTTTAATCAAAAGTGGTTGAGATGTTAACAGTGTTCTTTGAAAGAATATCTAAAAGGTTTATACATGTTTGCAATATCACACAAAGGTTGATTTCTAAAAAAAAAATATTAAAACAATAAAGTATTTATTTTGCCTAAAATGTTGTTAATGATTTCTTTTCTTGGACTGCAACATGCATGAAGAATTTGGATTAGGTTTAATGAGTAATAAGTAGGGCCTGATTAACTTTGAGCACATTACCTAACAGGTTGATACTCTCCCTAGAATGACATCTATGATATTTTCAAAAAGGCAGTTAAGACTAGATTACCCTGGAGAAAGGGCACAGACTGGTGCTTCTTGGGCTTGTGTGGTTCTGTGGTTATAATGATGACCATCTGAAGTTGACTAAAACTTCTCTTTAAAATGTACCGTTAAGGGAACCAGCAGTTAGCGTAATGGCTATGTCGCTGGACTCCCATGTAGTCGACCGCGGTTCATGTCCCGGACCCGGTGGCTTAAAACTCACGCCGGGCGCGTGTGCGTGCGTGCCCAAGATCCCGAGAGGAGAATGGAGGAGAAGGGATTGCGGCATGACCATCCCCCCTGGGGGTGATTTCTCGCTTTCTGTCTCTATGTCTCTCTCTGTCTGTCTGGCGAGCGCATGCGCCCTACAGTGAAAATCTCTCCAAAAAAAAAAAAAAAAAAATGTACCGTTAAGGGACCAGCGGATGGCATAATGATTATATGCTGGATCCCTGAGTAGTTGCCTGCTGTTCAAGTCCTGGATACAGCAGCTTAAAGCTCTGGGCACATGTGCGTGTGTGCCCAAAATCCCAATAAGAGAATGGAGAAGGGATTGTAGCTTGGTCATGCCCCGCAGAGGAGTGATTTCTCGCCTTCTCTCTCTTTCTCCGATGAGCGCATGCACTCAATAGCAAAAATCTCTTAAAAAAATAAAAGTACTGTTAAATTACAAAGAGCTGATATAATATTCTTTTATTTTTTAGTCATTTGGCAATTAACTAGTTGATTTTTACAGTAATAATAATACATATAAACCAAACAAACCCATATTAATAGTAATACAGGCACCAACATTTTTAATGACTTAGTTTTGTAAAAACTTTCACTTCATTTCTGACAATACAAGATACCCAGAATTTGATAATCAAATTTAGAAATCTAACAGTTACAATAACAGGCTGGGCCAGTTGGTGAATCACTTATATAGTTTACAATGAAATAAAATGAACCTCAGTGCTATGAGTTTCATCTTCACTCCCGTTTTAAATCCTTGTGTACTTAATAAACATCTGAAAGCTATTATGTTCAAGCCACCATGCTAGCTGCTATGCAGAAATGAGCGAAAGAGGATCTAAAAACTGCGTGGAAAACAAGGCATCTTTTTATGGGTACATGTAGAAAAATCTAAAAAAGATGAAAAAGCTTTGAGAGAGGATAGCTTAGAGTGATCAGAGAAGTCTTTAACAAAGACATGTGGGTTAAGTAATCTTAATTATGGGAAATGGGCCAGCAGGTGGCTGGTTCAAGGAGCTAGATCCCACGTGTGTGGTTTTTGTACTGGACCTGGTGATTTGAAAATCACACCAATCACATGTGAGTGCATGCCCTAAGTCCTCAGAAGAGAATGGAGGACAAGGGATTGTGGGTGGTCATCTGCTGGGGAGGTGATTTCTCACTTTCTGATGAGTGCATGTGTCCAATGGCAAAAAAAAAAAAGAACTGAAAGGAAGTTGAAATAGCCAAGCAAGAAGAACATCAAACATTATCTAGAATGTATAAAGTAAGTTTGAGTTACCATGACATGACAAAAGCAATGCAAGTCCATAGCTGTGGATATTGTGCATAAAGAAGATCCGGCATAAAGAAGATACAGAAAAAAGAAATCTTGAAATGGTGATTTTGAAGTTTGGAGTGGCTGTGAGTGATACACCATTGACAAAATTTGAGTAGTTCCTCAATCTTGAAGTACATATTCCTCTAAGAATATTCTGTTGTATTTCTGTAACATTTAAAATAGGTCTTACATCAATTAAGAATATGTATTCTTATATTTATTCATACATTTATATTTATTCAGCTGACCATATTACATTAGCCTTTTTATGGGAAATGAGAATTCAGTAAAGTGCATATAAAAGACTGTAGAGAGAAAGTAAGTTTGGCGATGTCTGTCCAAACAGGAGTGCGGTGCTAGTGGAAGAATAAAAGTGAAGTATAGGTTCTCCTGGGGAAGAAATGATAACACTTCTAGAGAGTGGAAGAGGAAAGTTTCTGTACTTAAAGCTGAGGTTCTGAAGTGCGGTATGACTCTTAGAATCATTTGTGAATATTGAAAATATATAGCTTTTCAATTGCATTTTACTATAAAGTTAAGATGTCATATATAATTAATAGTTTCCTATAGTGGTGTTTTTGTTTGTTTGTTTGTTTTTTTCTATTACTCTTACATCAGGTCTCTAACCCTATTTTTCATTTCCGGAGCTGATGCTATTACTCATTAAATAAGTAAAAATTTGCATAGAGAATGCCAAGTGTACTCAGCAGTAAATTAGAAATATACTAAAAGAAGACATCATAAAATATCAGGGGCCATATTCCTCAGAAGGATCCTCTTGGAATTTCCCAAAGGAGGATAAATCTTCAGAATAATGAGCTTGTGGGGCCAGTAGGTGGCGTGGTGATTAGTCTACTGGATTCCCACGTGGCAGGCTGCAAGGCTGCAGTTAAAATCCCAGACCTGGCAAACCACTTCCTTAATTTCCCTCTCTCTGTCTCCCTCTGGTAAAATTAAATAATGGTGGTGATAACAAATACAAAAATAATTTTAAAAAATAATGAGCTTGTTTGCCTAATCTGTGATGGGGATGATAACATCTACTTCTTACAGTTCAGTATGAATGTAAACCCACTTAGAACTGCACTTGGTGCAACTCAGCAAGCATTAGCTATGGCGGAAGTGGTGGGTAGAAATAGAGAAGTAGGCAGATGAGGTTTGGCAAAGTAAGCACTAAAAGGAAGGGGTAGAATATGAACTTACAGATCCAGGCTAGAGTTCTTAATCTTTATTTAAAAAAAACAGGGATTGCCAAAGGAACCCTGATTCTGAAACTATATAAAGGATGAAAAGGACCAGCAGGTGGTATGGAGGTTGAGACGCTGGATCCTACATAGCTGACTGTACTGTGTGAGTCTTGGACTCAGCAACTTAAGAATCACACCAGGTGTACGTGTGTTTGTGCCTAAAATCCAAAGGGGAGAACAGAGGAGAAGGGATTGTGGTATGGCCAGCCCCATGGGGTAATTTCCCACTTTCTTTCTCTCTTGCACAGACGCCCTGTAGCAAAAAATAAAAAAAAAAAAAAAAAATGAAGGGCGAACATAGTGGGCTTCAAATTTTCAACAAAGAAATGTTCTTAAGGGAAAAAAAGCAGTCATGGAATACATTTTAGAGCAATTCTCCTCAAACTCTAATAGCTTCTCAGACTTTAGTATTCATACAAATCACCTAAGAAGTTATAAAGATGAAAATTCTGATTGAGTAGGTCTGAGTTCTACTTTCTGAGGTTAAAATTTCTGCATTTCTAGACACTTCCGGGTGAGGTTGATGGCACTAACCCTGAACAGCATTTTATTTTACTAGCAAGGAATTTAGAAAAGCATTTCTTTTTCTTTTCTTTTCTTTTCTTTTCTTTTCTTTTCTTTTCTTTTCTTTTCTTTTCTTTTCTTTTCTTTTCTTTTCTTTTTTTTCTTTTCTTTTTCTTTTCTTTTCTTTTCTTTTCTTTTCTTTTCTTTTCTTTTCTTTTCTTTTCTTTTCTTTTCTTTTCTTTTCTCTTTTCTTTTCTTTTCTTTTCTTCCTTTCTTTCGTGTTTTTTTTTTTTTTTGAGAGGTTTTTGCTCTAGGGCGTGTGCGCTCGCCCCGACAGACAGAGAGAGACAGAGAGACAGCGAGAAATCACCCCCCCAGGGGGAATGGCCACGCCACAATCCCTTCTCCTCCATTCTCCTCTCGGGATCTTGGGCATGCACGCACACGCACCTGGCGAGTTTTAAGCCCGTGAGTTTTAAGCCACCAGGTCGGGACCACCAGGTCCGGGACTCTTACCGCAGTCGGCTATGTGCAAGTCCAGCGACATAGTCATTACGCTAACTGCTGGTCCCTAGAAAAGCATTTCTTAACTACTTGTCTTCCAAATGCTTCAAAGGGAGGAACTTTTAAACAGAAAAGGGATGTCATCTTAGAAGCCCTCTTCAAGAAACTTTACAACCCAAAGTTCAAAATGAAGAACAAATGAAAGCAGAACACATAAGGAAACCACAAGGGGGCCCACCCAAGGCATCAAGAGAATGTACAATGACCAAGAGAGGCCATCTAGTAGCAGTGACAATAGCCTGAGCAAAAAGCTATGCTGTTGTTGCTGTTAATGGTAGCAAGTAGTAAGTTCTTACGTTGTGTTGACTGAATATTAGAAAATGAAAAGACTTTGAGTGCTTCTGGAGCTAACCAGTCAAGAATCAGAATGAGAACCCCAAAAGGGAAGAATTAGCTCCAAACATGCTGCAGAAAGAGGAGATCTGCTCCAGGATGCAGAATTTATTTCTGGTTATTTGTGTTTAAAGGAGTTAAGCATTCCTGTTGGGAAGGGATTAGTGAGTAAAAATAATTACGCTTGAGTTAAACACATTGTAATTTGCTGTCGATGTTCCTGAGTTAATTGTTTAGTAAATCCATGATGAATCATGGCTTTGTGTTGGTACAACTCAAATAATTCCTTTTATTTCTATAGTCCCGAGGTTAAAAAAAAAAATCTCTGAAGTACTGTGAAGCAGACATTAGCTAACCCTCTGCCTGGGCATAGATCACTCTTGACAGAATCATCAAGGTCATCAGTTAAACCGCCGTTGTGTTGTGATTCATGTTTGGTCAGAAAGTACTCAGTTGTTATTTACCTATTGCTATATATGAAATATAGGCATTTGAATAAAAATATGTTTACCTACACTATCAGCCTGTGTGGACAAATGGGATCGTATTTGTGATGATGGACATGTTTTTCTATCCCATGCT